AACATATAAATTCTGATGATTGAATTCAGCATAAAATGAATAGTACATCAATCTCATTCTTGTATTTTTCATCATACAATAGACAATTTATAACTAGTGCTTGCTGTATGGTGTGATTTTTACTAATTTTGTAAAGTCTCACAGCGACTTTAAGACGTTCAAAGGCATTGTTTTTCGTACCCGTACCTTTATCTTAGTTGTTTACCTGAAATGTTGAGGGATTAGGTATCATTGTCTACACTATTCTTTCTCTCGGTAGCATAATACAAAGATAATTTTACCCCTAATCAGACAACTTTAAACGGATGTAATCTCTTTCATCCAGCTTTAAATTTTATAGGGTACCAAAAGAAAGAAGAAAGATTAAAGTGCCATATCAGTCTAAATGTCGAAATATTGTTAAATGGTTTTACTTCTTTCAAATAAATTTAGGAATCGATTGCAAAAAACCCGATTTCAAAATTCTGTGTATTTAAAATGATGAGAATTTCATAATGACATAATTATTACATAATTAGTTGCTATATTGTGATGTCCACACTTGAATGAAATAAGCTTCTTTGTTTTTCATTCCATCCCAAAATATTTTAAAGATTCTTGTACAACACAGTTTGAACTCCGAAACCATGTCTCAGATTTTCACTATTGCATTTCATTCTCTCATAAACCTTCAATGAAGATGTCAACCTCAGTTTATAAGAGATCACTAAATTTAATTGGGTAAAACATTTGTTCTATTGATGCTTTTTGGATCTGAGACTATATATATATGTTGAAGATAACTGTTCGAGGAACGACATGTGTGAAAATCAGGCATATAGGGGCACACTTCTAGTACTGTAGCTAATTTCATTTAAAACTACATTTTAATGTCAAAAATGAATGTGTCAAAATTGCATAAATAAGAATTTTCTTACTTGTACCCCATTTACTTCAACATAATTCACACATGTACCATGTGGATACTTCAGGATTGGCCTTTCATCATAAATCAGTTAGGTTTTGACCAGTAAGAAAGCATTTCATTTCAGCAATTCTAAATATACAAAGAAAATGCTACGTATCAATATACATCTTGCGGGAGAGGTTATATCATCACTGACCTTGCTGTAAGTCACGGTTGCTACTGATATGGTCAAAACTCCGCTTATTATGATAAACAGTTACAATAAATAATATCAGAAGCTTAATTACACATTGCATTTTCAATATTGATTTTATTCCTCTTAGGACATAAAATAATATATTTTGTTTTTTTGCATTCATTTTTGTTACAAAAAGTAAGTTATGCATGTGTACACAAAATGATAAGTCGGTCAGTTTAGATGATCTTTATGGGGGATTTCTAGAAATATATATTGTATACAATGACAATATGGTGTTTTACTCCAAGTATATTTTTTTTTATTTTTGCAGTTTGAAAATGAAATATTTAATTCTTTTAATAAGAATTCATATTTATTACATTATCCTCAAGAAATTCTAGTATAAACATCAGCAAGATTAATTGTTAAAAGAAGTAACAAAAACAGATGAAAATTAAATTTAGATAAAATTTAGTTGCTTTTGTATTGTGCTACCTTAAATATAATTCTAAGATAAGCATGATATAATTTCATGTAAATATTCCGAATATTTCATTAACTCTCTGAACTCGACTATCAATTACTTAAATCATAATGCTCTTTAATTTTCGCCCATCCTAAACAAAATGTGGTTCTGATGGGCGTTATCCTAATTTGTGAATAGCCTTCAAAGTTGAAGAGTGATTGACAGTAAATATATAATAGAATCATTTGTGATTGACAGTAACCCCACCTTATAACTATATGGCACAATACAGCTTATGCTACATTTACTTTTGACCCTTTCGGGACTGTTATAACTTAAATGTAAATAATGTACATGTTTCAACAATTATAGCGTAATCTGTATTTTCTTTTGACCCTTATGGTACGTCAACTGGACGCTTAAGCTGCATATGCTATTTATTACAGCATAGGCTGCATTTAATATAGCATATGCTGTATTAATTATAGCATATGCTGTATAAATTACAGCCAATGCTATATATTATAGCCTAAGCGACATTAATTACAGCATAGGGTACATAAATTATAGCTTAAGCTGTAGTTTATATAGCATATGCTGTATTAACTGTAGCATATGCGAAATAATTTACTTTTGACCCTTTCCGTACGCCATAGACATTTGTTTTAAAGGCAGAAACAGTTAATGCCACGCAGTTTTTAGTAGAATTTTAAAATACCCTTGCTAACATAGGGAAGTAAATTTCGTCCTGAAATGTCCAGAAAAGAATGGCAATTATTTCTGGCAACTGAACAATATGGTTGCGGTTTTATACATATGATAGAGTATCAGGAAAAATTACAATGAAACGAACCTGAGATTCCTGAAAGAACTTGATAATATATTGATGAGTTCCTGGCTCAAGAAACTGAAATGAGAACTAATATGATAAATTAATGCATTATAAAAAAGTTAACAACTCTTAAGCATCTTTTATTGTAACATATAGTCAATTATATATAGTGAGCGATACTGACCATTTCGAGTCTTCAGATTAATGTAGAAATACGGATATTCTTTTATCAGAATGAAAACGCCCCAGTAAATTGAAAGTAAAATATGAACATTTTGAACATGTGGTTATTCTAAATTAGATATGTTCATTGTGTATGATTAGAATTATACATCATCACAAAACTATTATATATTTATGTGCACCAGGGACAAGTTTCAAAGCAATGAAAGCAATATTACAGTACAAGACTAGTGCATCATTAACATCCATCTTCTTCCGATATAATTCAAACACATAAATACCTATAACAAAATCTTTAATTTGTTACTAAAATGACCATGTACAGCATCGTGAATTCATTCAATCACTTTAAGCAGGAAACAGATATATCCGACACGTTCTAGGTCATACTTTAAAGTTATCATTGCGGAAGTATCCATTGTTACGTAGGCAACGAGACACAGACAGGGTAAGTGATGAAGTCTTCGTGCAATTGGATCATTGAAAAAGCACAAACGATGCATAATTTCCTTGAAATTCTTTTAAAATTCAGCCTTTTACATTGTTCATGAGAGCGTACCGGAAATTCTAGTACAAAAATTTAAAGTAGTAAATTCAATAAAAACTCTCCCATTGACTTCAATTCAAACCTATTTCTTAAATTAAATTTATACCTAGTTTACCTTTAGAAATCAAAGCTTTCATATATCATTCATTAAAGTACAAATGGTGCCCCATCTTTTTCAATAATCAAAACATTAGGGTCATGCAGCATATTTTGGGCCATTCACATGGCCTTGTTTACTAACACTATACATTCGCACTAAATGCATACTTCTTCTTCTTCTTTCTGTAACTTCCTCCTGTGGTTAGGAACACATCATACACTGATCCATTACTTTTCAACCCTGTAGTAAACAAATTAAGTGCATTCAGCATTCATTTTTTACATTTTTTAAAACCTAGATCTATCTTATAAAAAATATTTATTACAAACATTATCTACCAATCAATGACATACCTGAACCAACGACAACCACCGAACAACAGGCTCCTGACTTGGGACAGGCACACAAAGAATGCGGCGAGGTTAAACATGTTCGTAGGCGCTCAACCCTCCCTAACCTAGGGCAGTGGTGTAACTGCACAACATAAGAACAAACTATAAAAATCTGTTGAAAGGGCTTAATTCATCAGATCGATACAAAGAAAAACATAAAAAAAAACAACAGACTGGACGTGGCAGGGTATATATCTATTCCTCATCCCTAACATAAAAAAGACACTAAGTACAGACCTGAGAGTACTCGCAGTTACTGACAGCTAGTTCAAAGCCAATAACAACTAATTAAAAAAAATCGTTTATCTAAGACTAAAATATCAATCAGTACACATCCCACATCCAATGGATTTAGTGTAAATAACAGTCAGAGAAAATTTAAGCATGACCTTGTGCATTGCCAAAATATAGGTCTCGACAGATTGTAGTACCGTGAAAGTACATATCTGTAATATTTAGTATAGTTTTAATTTACTGATAACAAAATCAATATTCATACCAATAAAAACAATATTCATTTGAGGTAACATTTTAGAATTAGTTTATTTCAAGGATTGACATGTTTACCCGGATCGTATCTAAATTTCCGGGCTCGGGAAACAACATCACCGTAAAATTTAGGATGTGCTATTCCGTTTGAAATAAGTTTTCTACAGGTACAACTAAACTTGCAGACCAAATCTTTGTATCTATGAAAGGATTTAGTAAGGGTTTTAAGTCATTTGTAAGAAAAATGCAAGATGAACATATATTGTCTACCCTAAGAGGCTCGATGCCACTAGCTATCCCTAACCTCCCCATCCCCACACATATAATTAGCCTCTGTAATTATTGCCACAAACTTTATCTTTGGTGGAAATAAAACTCGAATTAAATGTAATATAATATTAACAATGCAATGTATACTCTATAAGCTTTAATATGATTCTTTTAAAATAATCAAAAATTTTATTCGCACGACGAAAATTAACTGCATGAAATCGGAACGCTCTCATGAACATTGGTTACATTGATTACATTTACTGTGTGGAATCGAAATAGGTATACGTACGTTTGGGTCGATAAAACATATTCACATGGGTTTGAACATGTTAGGTCGATCCAAATATACATGTTCATAATTCGGTGAGTTGCATCCCTATAACTTATATGATGTGAACACTTTTTACCTATGGCTGGACATAGGTTCAGACAAAAACATTATTAGATTATCATACGAATTTGAAAAAAAATGAGATGAATCAACACCTTAATTCTGTATGATTTTTTTGTAGATGAATGTCAATTTTATCAGAAAAGGTATAATTCAGAGGGATTGAAAACAAACTTTGGATCTCAGTTTGGTATATATGCCAAATGTAAAGTTTTTTTAATTCAATTTCTTTTTCTCAATAGATGGCTACCTTTTTGACAGAAGAGGAAACAAATTATCTTCGTATGGTTTCATTGATGATTGGCGTTTGTCCAAAAGCAGTGCGCACTTTTTTTGATGGTATATTCCCTCCGGCAAATCTGGCTGCTGATTTACATACCCATACCCCAGCACTGAATAAGATAAGAAAGAAGAACGTGCTGAATTCATCTCAATGGGCACTTTTATTTCCTACAGGTACAATATGCAAAATAGATAAAATTATCATATACTTGATCAAGGTTTGTTTAAGTATCCATAAAAATATACACTGAAAAATTATGTTAATATGGCATAATCATGCAGAGGTCTAACAATTGGAGAATATTTTGTAAATTTGAATAACTTATATTGTATAAGCACCTGTATATTGCTAAACACTGTACGTTGACCGCTATAGTTGTGTCGTCAATTAAAAAAATTAATTATCTAGATAATCAATATCAATCCAGGTAAAGACGGTGTCATCATCAACGCTGTCAAATTGTTTAGATTTTGTAGGCTTAGTCTTTAATACATGAGCAGGTATATAAATATCACTGTCAGGTTCATTAGATCTACAATTGACGCCAATGATCGTCAATTAGGCTATTAATAGCTCGAGTGCTATAAATATATCTTATCGACTTTGTGTAGGAGTAATAATTATCTCAAAGAGTACAAAGTATTATACTTGAAATAAAGAATGTCAAAATACATATATCGCACATTTAATTACTTATCAAACGCTGTATATTATACATTTTATATAGATCACCTCCCTTTAGCGTCCGTCCGTCCCCGATAAACACACCGAAATAGGTTGTATCTCTAATTGTATCTCTAATTGTTAAAGTTGACGTGCTTGACATTTCTTCATGGTTCTAAAATGTTTCAAGTTTGTTACGCATTACAGATTGTAACCTTATAATATCTTATGTCTATGTCTATTTCACAGCTAGGTACTTCTTTATCTCTGAAAAAAATATACCTATAAATACTTTCAGTTAATTACCAGCATATATTTTAATTTCTTTAGAAAATAGAGCATATACATGTACTCACTTTTCAAGAATCGTCCGGATTTAGCCGTCAAATTGTGTGCAATTCTTTTAACTATGACAAAAAAAACCCTGTTAAAGATGCATGATTTGTTTTGAACTCTAGGCTCACATCTGAATGCGACCGATGTCTTTTTTAAAGATAGTACTTTTTATCACAAGGAAGCTGTTAAACCAAGAGTTCAAAGTGGTGCAGTTGAAATCATCCCTTCGTAAATTTTAAGGACGCCATCACGAGTTGATTGACCGTTATATATGGAATATCTGTTTCACAGATGACGACGAATATGTTTCTAATTGTCGTAACTACGCCCGCTAACATGTTAACCCCGCCACATTCTGTATGTGGCTGTCCCCAAGTCATGAGCCTGTAATTCAGTGGTTTTCGTTTGTTGCTGTACATGATATTTGTATTTCGTTCATGGTTTTTTTTAACATAAATCAGGCCGTTAGTTTTCTCGATTGGACTGTTTTACCTTTGTCATTTCGAGGCCATTTATAGCTGACTATGCGGTAAGGGTTTTGTTCATTGTTGAAGGCCGTACGGTGACCTATAGTTGTTAACTTCTGTGTCATTTGGTCTCTGGTGGAGAGTTGTCTCATTGGTAATTATACCACATCTTCTTATTTTTATATTCGTATTATTTGGTCTTTAGTTTTGTATGTTGTGTTTTGTGTACTATTTTGTGTTTGTCTGTTTGTCTTTTTCTTTTTTAGCCATGGCGTTGTCAGTTTTTTTTTCGACTTATGAGTTTGAATGTTCCTTTGGTATCTTTCGCCTCTGTTTTTTTTAACCATATGAATGTATTTAGTAAAACAACCGTTGGATTTGATTACCATGATAACAACACATGTTTCATGGAAACCATTCACCAGGTACGACGCTCGAGAGAAAAACGATTGGGATGGAAATGAGTGGTATAGATGGATGATAGCTTAAAAAAATAAAACGGCATTACCAGAAGGGGGTGTGGTAGTTTCAATCCATTTTGAGTAAAACCATTGTGTATTTTAAATTTTTGACCATTATCAATAAATCAATTAAAATATCTAAGGAATACGTTATTACTTTTCAAAATTCTATAGTGTTCGAATTCTAGATTACCCTTTTCAGCGTGATACACTAGTAAATGAATTGTAGTAATAATTGGCCATTTTGATCTTAACCCTCCAACTGAAAATGTCTGAACCTAAAGTCATTAGATTACGTCTTATTAAGAATTTAAGTTATTTTTAATATAATTAGTCAATATTATTGAAATAGTGACATTACCGATACCAATCTAACTGCACCAGATGCGCATTTTGACAATGTCTCTTCCATGTTGATCGAAGCTAACCATTTTGAAAATGCAAACTAAATACAAACTTTGAAGAGCTGATATAAATGAAAATGATCAAAGTATAGACAACCCCCAACCAAGAATCAGAACTTTGCATGAGGGAGATAACTCAGTTTAAAATATTAAAAAAAAAAATCATAACAGCAAATTTCAGTAATACAATATCCGTATGTTCATGCCAGTACATATTTACTGAGCTACTGAGCTGGTGATAACCTAGGGAAATAACGGTCCACCAGTAGAGACACAGTGAAAGTAAAAATAGTAACGGTACCATTTTTTCTGCACAAGATTCTCATTCCTACAATTAATATCTCCTCAGTGATACTCGATGCTACGATTTTTAACTTGTAGCCTGGATATTAATGTAATAGTTGCCACTGTACATTGAGCACTATGATTGTACCTATTGCATGTATTATAAAATATTTTAGGAAATTAATAATGAATATTTCAAAATAAAGAATTAAAAAAAAAGTAAGATTTTAGTTTAACTTTATTTCAACTGTTTATATTACAAATAAAGGTAATGGACATATCTTTTATAAATACTACGGCAAGAATTCATATTTAGGTATGATTACTTATAATGGAACAATATTATATTATTAATAATGAGATACGTTCTAATATTGTTTGTACATACTTATGTAATAAAAGAGTAAGTAATACGCCCATTACTAGGATTAAAAACAAAATTCAAGTACTATCAAAGTGTTTTGTGTTCGTACCGGCCGACAAAGCAGCCAACAATGTGATGGTGGTATGACGTAAATACTACACGGAAGTCCTTAAGAATGAAATTATACATTCAACTACATTCAAGGCCGTACGCTCCACAGAGAGGCATACAGTAAATAATCATGTCACTACCACAGCTCAGATTAAGGCCTCCTTGGAACATTTGAAGGTCCCCACTATGTATTGGTTACCTAAACTACACAAAAAACCCGTAAAATATCGTTTCATCTCGGCCTCTAGTAAGTGTTCTACTACTAATATTTCGGTTCCTTAACTACTACCAAAGAACTTATCGTTAATTTTTTTGTAATAAAACATATGAAAACAGTGGAATTAACCATTTTTGGAGTGTAAAAAATTCTTTGAATGTTTTAGATAAATTATGTGCATTTGATGGTCCTTTTGATTCGGTTGACAGTTTTGACTTTTCCACTCTTTATACTGCACTTCCACACAATCTTATCAAACAAAAGTTTTCCTATCTAATTAAATGGTCGTTTGATACATCTGGTTGCAAGTTTATTTGCTTCAACTCATATAAAGCCTTTTTCTCTAATGAGAAAGGTAAATATGCTATATATACTTACTGGAGGTGTGATGAGATGATCAAATCACAAAATTTTCTCCTTGACAACATTTATGTACGTTTTGCAGTAAAGTTTATTGACAGATTTTAGGTATTCATATGGGCACCAATTGTGCCCCTTTAATAGCAGACTTGCTCTTTTACTGTTATGAATCACATTTTATGGCCAAACTCAGTAAAGAACCGTCTAAATTCCATTCAATTGATAAATTCAACAACACTTACCGCTATCTTGATGATATTTTTTCGTTAAATAATCAAGAATTCTCTAACTATACTGTTGAAATTTACCCAAAGGAACTTACTTTAAATAAATCTAATATCAACAGCAATAACTGTCCTTTTCTAGATTTAGATTTTTCAGTATTACACCAGAAACTTCACAAAAAAATTTACGAAAAAAGGGATGATTTTTCTTTCCCAATTGTTAATTTTACCTTTTTGGACGGTGATGTTCCTTTGGCACCATCTTACGATGTTTATATATCCCAACTCGTTCGCTATGCTCGTGTTTGTAGTGACGTTTTGGACTTTAATGAGTGTAATCCATGTATTACTAGTAAATTATTAAGTCAGGGATTTCGTTACCACAAATTACTTAAAACCTTTACTAAATTCAAAGATTTGGTCTGCAAGTTTGCCTGTACCTTTAGAAAACTTATTTCAAACGGAATAGCACATCCTAAATTTTACGGTGATGTTGTAGATCGAGCCCAAAAATTTAGATACGATCCTGATAAACTTATCAATCCTTTAAATAAACTTATTCTAAAATGTTACCTATTCAACACTGTAATTAAATCTTTGAATATTGTTTATATTGGTGTAAATATTGATTTTGTTATCAGTAAATTAAGACCATACTAAATATTACACATATGTACTTTCAAGCTACTACAATCTGTCAATACTTATAGTTTGGCATTCCACAAGGTCTTGTTTTTCTCTGACTGTTTATTACGTCTTTACGATAAATCCATTGGATGTTGGATGTGTACTGATTGATATTTTAGTCTAAGATACATGATATTTTTTTCATTAGTTGTTATTGGCTTTGAACTAGCTGTCAGTAACTGCGAGTTCTCTCAGATCTGTACTTAGTGTTTTTTTGTTTGTTTTGGGGATGTACAAGTACCCGTCCACGTCCACTTTGTGTTTTTGTTAGATGATGTATTTCTATTTGTATCCATCTGATGAGTTAAGCCTTTTTCAACTGATTTTTATAGCTTGTTCTTATGTTGTACTGTTACACCACTGTTCCAGGTTAGGGGGGGGGGGGGGTTAAGCGCCCACACACATGTTTTACTTTTATAAATTGTTACTTGGATGGAGAGTTGTCTCATTGGCACTCATACCACATCTTCATATATCTATTAACCACCCCGCCACATTCTTTATGTGCCTGTCCCAAGTCATGAGCCTGCCAGTGTAGTTCAGTGGTTGTCGTTGGTTCATGTCTGTCATATTTGTTTTCGTAAACTGTTTTGTTATAAATTAGGCCGTTAGTTTTCTCAATTGAACTGTTTCATATTTTTCATGTCGGGGCCTTTTATAGCCGACAATATGGTATGGGTTTTTCTCATTGTTGAAGGCCGTACGGTTGCCTATAGTTGCTTACATCCACTTCATTTGAACTTTGGTGGATAATTGTCTCATTGGTAATCATACCACATCTCCTTATTTTTATATTAGTCATATTTTTTATGAACATTTAAAACCGTCGGTTTCTCCAATAAATATTTTAAAATAAACTATGATGCAGCATTTCTAATCTATAAATGTATATCATAAGCTTTTTATATGTCTGTCCGCAAATACCCTCTATCGGGCATTTGTAAACTTTGCATTATATTGTAATTAAAACCATTGAACAAGAGATATCCATTTTACTAATAATCAAGGTAAAACTAGAATTCCACTGACCAAAAGGACTCACAAATATCAACACTCCTCCCCTTTTAATCCTTCACTTAAACACTCATAAACCATTATACAGGATCATACACAGACCAATAAGGGTATGCTAAAACATGCATCAGTTTAAAAGAACTTTAGAAACCAGGTATGTTATGGAATAACATACAATCAAACAGACGAACGGGCTAACAAAAGATCAAACGCACGACGGACACCTTGAATAATTTACATGCGCTGCTGTCGCTATCAAGGGTACAAATGTTTACATAAGTGAGTATATCTCTCCCATGTTCCTTCCTGGAATGCATACATTTTGTGAAATATATTTTCCTAAAATGGCAACAAAATAGATTGAATAAATGATGTTTTAGTGAATGGGGGCTGTTTTGGTTATAAGGATATTAAAATAATGATAGTTTAAAGGGAAACATGATTTTTTACCTGAAAATAATCCTTTTTCTAAATATGGAATTAATCTTAATTAACTAATACTATAAAATCAAGTCTTTGCACCAAAAATCAAATCTCATAAGTCGATGATAGACTGAACAAACCATGACATAAAACGAAAAACGACTAATAGACATCCAACAGTCCACAAAACACTTCATTAGAAACTCAACCCTGTGATATAAAGAGCTCAGACAGGGTAACATATCCGACTACGTAGATTTCGACTACTAAACGTATAGCTAGCCTAGCCGCTACATAGATCTAGATCGCATAAAAAAATTATGCTATCTAGAGAATCCAAAATGGCGTCGAATTAGATAGATATCTAAGACATAGCGGCTATACTAGCTGCTACGATATTAAACGCAACCCAGTTCACGTGTGAACCAAAATAACCAGAATGCGGTTGTTTTAAACAATTCAAATTGTGCACTTTAACAGAAAATATTCGAGTCAAACAACGAGTCATACAAACCAATTATTTTGATTAGCTAAAAGATTGATATAAAATTCCCTTTTTCAAAATTCTGTAATGTTTAACTCTGACATATAATTTTACAGGTTCCTCAAACGTAACTTCTAGCAACTTCGACTTGACATTACTGATATGCCTGTTGAGGAACATTTCAAAAATTAGCAAACCAACCAGAGGTTTTGATGTTCTTCCCGCAATAACAGATGTTAGTCCAGCAGACGATCTTGCAAGGATAAAGTATTACAGGAATATGATTGCTCATTCGGATGACAGCAAAATGTCGAATCAAACTTTTAATGATGCTTGGATCAATGTTGCTGAGGTATTACCATCGTTATTCATTTCTGATCTATCGTTCTTATTCATAAATGTTTGGTTTATGCCGTATTGAATAAATTTTATATAATTTTTTGAAAATCTTATATTTATTTGTATAATTCATGAATTAAATTAACGAAATCCTATAAAATTTGACGTAGAAATGTCCACTGTGTCATATATAAACGGTAAAGATACAGTTAAGGCCCGAAAAACAAAACGCCTCAATTTCTTATATTATATTAATGATTTCAAGATATGAGATACATGATTGATAGAAAATGCATGAAAAAGTTTTGCTAACTTGTATTCAGCACATGAGCCAGTGATAACTAAACATGTTTGAATTTGTAAAGCTAGAGATATCTATACTTAGGCCTTTATCTATTGAAAGGAATTTATAAACAAGATAAAAAGATGTGTTTGAAACGAAAATTAAATATTTCTGGATAAATTTGACCGAATGAAAAATATGACAAAATAAAATATGTAGTCAGCTTGACCTTCATTGGTCTTAAAACAAAAATATAATAGACATTTGTTGAGCACTTCTCGCGGCATGTTTTAAAATTAAAGAAAACTCTTTTAAATTAGATGCGTTTGAAGCCGGTTGTTGAACACTTTCAACGGGAACACAGACCAATACTTCCTAGTGTATGTGCAAATATAAATAAATGATATACTGATTTCTTTTTAACGTATTTTCTTTTATTTTTTGAAAGTCAATTTAAAACAGTTTTATACGAACTACTAAGGGCCATCAATTTTCAATTTCAACACATAAAGTAGTTTTCCTATTATTATGAATAACTGCTGAATAAATTAGTTGTTGCTGTTTGTATGATATTTAACTCATGAATAACTGCCTTATATGATGTTTTTTGGAAGTCTCAACAGCATATAATGGACAATAATAGAAAAAATTAAAGCAAAGCTGTTTTTGTGTCGTGAAATTAAAGAAAATTGACAACTTGTTGGTAAAAACATAGTTTTACAGTGCAAAAATTCGAGTAAAAATGAGGCACATGTAATAAACGCCGAAATCGCCTGGTTCCGGAAATCAATAAAAGACAAATGTCAACAAAATTTCGTACTTGTAAAGGATAATTAAACTATGTATCGATGGCGAGCGAGTTTATGTTGACGAAGGATGTTTCGGTGGCGGGTAAAAAACGTTGATTAATTATTTTATTTAGGAAGGACAATGTTGGGGCATTGTCTGTAGTACAAAGAACAGTGGAGATGACAAAAAAGTCTGTTTTTGAAGTATTTATGGACTCAATTATTGCAATATTAATTGACAAATCTATCATTATAGAGAGTGATGATAATTGATATATATTTGTTTCGTTTTAAAAACCTCCTTTTGAATCTAGATTTTATATGACAATGAAAATTATGACTTATTTAAGCAACCTGAAATTCTTTTCGAAAAATATTCAGAATAAGGGAAATCATTTATTTATGGAGCACATATGGTCGAATAAGTATGTATGATTACTATATCTGCGAGAATAGTTCACCTATCACCTTGTTTAGAATCTTAATGTCATATTGTTTCTATTTCAATTTACTACATATAATTAATTATGACATGGATTCGAACGCTGTTGTCATTATGTAAATCTGATGGTATACGTTTTGTACATGGACTTGTAAAAGACTGGTTTTCAATCAGTTTCACTTTGTGTGTGCTAATTGATTATTTGAATTAAGAGTGTATAGTTATGAAGAGCTGTTATATCATGTCCTGCTGCATTTTGAATTGTACATTCGATCTAAGGTTTCTTATTAGCAAAATTAATCTGAAAAAAAAAATTAATTGAAAAAAATTGAAAAAAAAACCAAAACCAAAACAACAACACAAAAACTAAATATTCAGATCAGACGAGAAAGGCCTCTCTGTTCTCAATGTTTTAACTACTTACATTTTTTGGCCTTTTTTTTTAAATGTTTTGATACGAGCTTCACTGAATCAGATGAGTCTTTTTATGACAAAACGCGCGTCTAGTGGTTCTGGCGTTCAAAACTATATGAAAAAACATAAACGATTCTACGATCCTAATCTGAATCTTTGGTGATTTTTGTTTATGAACATCTTTGAATAGTTGTTTTCAAGATCACGATTTGACATCTGTGTATGGGATAAGCGTATGTGTTGAGAGCAATTTTTCCGGTCATTACACCAATCACCGAAACGTTCTGCAAAAGAACCACCTTTAGTCAAACAAGATTTTATCTAAACAATTGTCGACAAGAAATTGAAAAAAAACCGTGGTTTTCGAATCAACTCAAAAGTTAATGCTGTTTCAAGTTTAATAAATAAAAGAAAAATAGATTTATTATGCCATCTAGCAAACTTTACAGCTATTCTTTACAACAGACTTTAACACAGGGCTGCATGTCACGATATTCTTACCGATGCGTAATTTTGTTTTCGACAGTGCCATCGAACCTTTGTTATGTACTACAGTTTATGATAAGTAAAAAATTTTCAATGAGGGAAACTCGCTACCGCTGTTTATTATATAATAAGCGAGCTTTTGACAGTAGAAAAAGAATGATCCCCATGATAAAAATAACACCTTAAGGATGTGGACAAATGTTAATAGTTTATATGTGTACGTTTAATGTATGAATCAACAAAGGCTTGTGTACGTTTCGACGATCCTAATCTGATTTTTTTTCGACAGTAAAGTCGGTCTTCCACGATAAGGTTGCATAGTCGATGTTTTTTTCATTATACGTCAATGTGTTAAAAAAGCCGAAAGTGCCAAAGTATATCTTATAAATAAGAAGATGTGGTACGAGTGCCAATGAGACAACTCTCCATCAAAGTCACAAAGTCAACACGGAGCCTTGGCTCACACCGAACAGCAAGTTATAAAGGGCCCCAAAATGACTAATATAAAACAATTCAAACAGGAAAACCAACGGTCTAATCTAACAAACTACAACCACTGAACAATAGGCTCCTGACTTAGGACAGGTGCATAAAAATGCAGCGGGTTTAAACGTTTTAACAGGCGCCAACCTTTACCCTAACCTGAGACAGTAGTGTAACATGACAACATAAAAAGACACACTATAAAATATCAATTGAAATGGCTTAACTCAATCAAAAAGACATCCGTGTTGAAGGCCGTACTTTGACCAAAAATTGTTTACTTTTTACACATTGTGACTTGGATGGATAGTTGTCTCATTGGCACTCATACCACATCTTCTTATTTATATTTAAACAAAAACAAGTAAACATACACTGAACGAATAAGTTTGATCTATGACACAATATAAATACAATATTAAAACGTAGGTGCCTATATAACATAGACGTTACAGATAGTTATACAAAAGTTGTAGGAAGAGTGTCAATAAGACAACTCTTACCTGGGACAAAATAGCGTTAAATAAAACAACGTACACAGGTAAATTGAAACATAATAATTGTGTTATCAGGAGTACAGAAGTAACCTTTTTTTACAAAATTAATAAATTTGTTGTTCAGAGTACGAGTACAGAAGTGAAAATTTATCGTCATATTAATACTTATCAAAGGTGGTACATATTAAAAATAGTGAGACAAGATATAACACAAAACATTGAATTACAGAAATGCATTACAAATTGTGCCAACAGGTCAAATTAACACCAAAGTACGATTTGAGAGTACTCGCAGTTACTGAAAGCTAATTAAAAGCCAAAAACAATTAACAATGAAAAAATCATGCATCAGAGACTAAAATCAATTAAAACACACCCCAGGGATTTAGTGTTTTAACGCCATGGACAGTCAAAGAAGACATGACTTGTGCAATGCCATAATAAAAGTATCGACAGGCAGTAGGATCGTTAGGATTTAACCTTATAATGAATATGTACCATGTTATAAATAGATAAAACAATCTCTAAAGAGAAAATTAACGTACGTGGATGTGTATTTATACATCCCAAACACAATTCGAAAAGAATGCAAATGTAGTTATGTTTAATTTGTTGATAAAAAAATCGATGTAAGTGCCAATATAAACAATATTCAAATATTTTATTACAACATTAATAAGATAACCTTTACTAATAAGTTTGTTAAAAGGTCGATGAGTTTACACGGATCACAAAGTGATCTCCGCGCTTTTAGTATAATATTACCGTAAAATTTAGGATGTGAAATACCGTTTTTAATACGTTTTCTACAAGTACAGCCAAATTTACTAATCAAATCTTTGAATCTATGAAAGAATTTAGTAAATGTTTTATATTTTATTGGTACGAAATCCCTGACTAAATAATTTACCAGTGATGCATTGATTACGTTCGTTAAAATCTATGACATCACTACAAACACGGGCATAACGAACGGGTTGGTCTTCCTTTTAATGAATGCAGACGATCTGGTGTTATTTCCAGAAGATGATTTTTAACAATCCAACAGAACAGATTTTGATTTGACTGTAGATACTGATAAGACAACATTGGTTATAATCCGATCGAGGTATTATACGATAAGACGAACAGTTGTTTACAACCGCAAAAAAATAAACATTTGTTACTTAGCTTCAACTGAAAGTTTACACATTCACACAAGAAACTTGCGGAACATGGAAAGAAATCGAATGTTTCCACTTCTTTCTAATTCCAGAAAATGTCATCTAAACTTGCATACTCACTTTTCACTTTAATATGCATACGTTGGTAGCGGTTTAACTTATGCCTGCGAAGTTTTGGGCTTTTTCAAAACAGACGAAATCGAAAAATTTATGCTTTATATAAGATTACTCGGCGTAAAACAATCTACGAATACGGCTATTATGTATTGAGTTCAGAAGAATGTTCTATAATAATAAAGTGTGAAATACATTTTTTTAAATATGTGTTAAAACGTCTTTAAAACACTAAAATACATTTATGAGGATCTTAAAACTGCTTATGTTAATATTGTGTGAACATCTATTCGATTATTTAAAGTTTGAAGCAAGACTAAAATGTTTCGTTCGTCGGTTTGGCTAACTGTTCTCACTGCTTCCATGCGGTAATTTTGGAACTTTTCAACTCTTCATTCTTTTAAATTGTAAACATGTGAAGATAGAGGTAAAGTTTGATTTTGACGATAATAATAATGGTCCCTGATTGGTTCGAAATTGAACTTTTTATCGTTTCCGTGTAAAATCTTGCGAACGGTTGAACCGATCATTTTGAAATGTCTGACGAAAAAGTAGGTCATGTTTGGTATTAACTTTTTCATTTACAGCATTCTGGAATTATGGTTCATGCTTATTTGATAAAGGTCGTTTGATTTCGTTTCCGTAAAAGTACTTAAAACTTCTTTAAACAAATATCTTTAAATTTTAATACGTTGGTTCTGATGCAGTTTGATTTGGACGATTTTCATTTTTGTTATTCATGGTAATGGTCCTTGGTTGATTTAAAATGACACTTTTTGTCATGTCAGTTCAATGACTTGAGAACGAAAACACCAATCCTTTACAAAATTTAAGATGTTGTTTCTGAAGACAAAAAGCATGATCAATATTAGTGATTTCCAGTTTTGACGTTCTCAAATTTTGGTTTTAGATTGATTGATAAATTCTGTTTTTTATTCGTTTCCTTACGATAACTCGACCAAATTTTATCAAATTTTAATATGTTGTTTCTGAGGACAATGTCAAAGTCATGTTTATTTTAACAATTTCTGCTTATGCTGTTCAAGAGTAATGGCCCGTGAATGCTTTAACAATGACACTATTAAACGTTGAAAAAAAACTGTTTGATTTCGTTTTGAAACTCCTGTTCCTATTGATAAGAAAAAAATAAGAAAATATTTTATCCTCATTAAAAGAAAAAAAAAATCTAAAATCCGTTGACCTTAAACATATTTTCATCTACTAAAGGCGACAACAAGACTTGGTGGATCACCGTTTCAACAGAAGTGTGCCGATTTAAAGGTTGCAAGTTTGGACAGAGAGTCATTGGAAGATTTGATGATCAACCTTAGGCAAATCAATGAAGACAGATTTAAGGATCTTACTGACAAAGTTCTAAATCTCACGACACACGTAGCAGCTATAGTCGATCCTGTGCCTATGCACAAGAGAGGTAAATAATACAGTACTCACAACGAATTCCTCTAACTATTTTTATATTCTTTAGAAAACATGGGGCTATTTTATATGAGGAACACTTTGTATAGTTTCAATACTAGACATTGATAGTACATGTATACAAAGATAGGGTGCAATAAAAGTTTTATTTTGCCTAATTTGTCATTTAAAACAAAGAACTTTTACTGACGTCCAGTGGCAAATATTACATAACATAACGCACTTTTGATCTATCTGATACTTGTTACCTTTAATCTCATTCTCAACACATTCTGTTGAAAGAAAAAAAAACTATATATACTTTAATTAAAATGTATATTATTATTACAATAACAACTAGCAGTACTAATTTCAAATTTTGGCACTATTAATTGACGCAAAAAAATAATCCGAGAGTTTCATTATACTGCTATTTTGTTACACATTTAAAAGAAAATAAAAGTATAAAACATAAAAAAAAATAGTTTGTGCATGTAAATTATTTTTAATCTTTTTGTCGTATGTCAGATCATTGCAACCAAGTTGCATACAAATGATCAGTAAAGGTGTTTTCGAAGAAGTACGCGTTTGTGGCATGTTAATATTGCCGAGTTCGTTTCATTCACAAATTCCAAATATATATGTATCAGTGTATACTGGTAATGGATCGTAAAGGAAATCGTATCAAGAAGTCACATGCTAGGTCAATAGATAATCTAATTTATTGAATAATTAGGACAAATTGTGAAAAAAATAAAACTGCCTGTAAAAATGGTTCAACATTATGATCAGTATCTTAGAAAATCATAGTTTAAAATATCATCGTTTTTCTTGCGTTTGTTTGTACTGTATTCCTGTCACGTAGTGTTGTCGTTTTAGCGGTATTTTTTAACATTGCCATATAAGCGGGAGGGTTGGCTAGCCATACAACCAGGTTAAACCCACCATTTTTTCTTAAAATGGCCTGTACCAAGTCAGGAATATGGCAGTTGTTATCAAATAGTCCGTTTCTATGTATGTTGGCGTTTGTTTTTCGTTGCAGTTCAGTGTTTCAGTTGTTCCGTTGTTTTCCTCTTATAGTTGATGTGTTTCCCTCGGTTTTAGTTTGCAACCCGGATTTGTTTTCTCCAGGGATTTCAAATTTAAGCCATGTGAAAATTGGGTAAAATGTGGTAAAATCTTTTTTTTTTAAATTAACTTATTATGATTTTCATCTTTATGTTATAGGATTACAGCAAAACTTTATATTTAAGGTACATTATGAAATTCCATATTGATTCCAAGACTCAAATTTACTTCAGAAATAGTTTTAAACTAAACAAAAATCACAAATTTGAAGAAACTCCTCAAATACGATGTAAACTTGGCTGCGTACCTAAACATCCCGAAATGCCAAAAGGTAGTTGTTCTTATAAATAAACATATAATTACTGATGCGCACATCTTTAGACGAAAACTGCTAGTTCTTCCTGTTGACGTCATTTGGATGAAGCATATTAAGTTGTTTTTATCCAGAAACCTTCCCGACCCTATTGCCTGGCATCATTAAATGGACTGCTTGGTTAATCATTAAAACTTTTATGTGGTGTAATTGGTTTCAGGTAGTCTATTTGAAGTGTTGACTAAGTGGTGATATGACTTCTAAGTGATATCACTTCTATGGCCATTGAGTAGTTTTTTGAATGACTGCTTTGAATCACCAATTTATGGAGGCCAAACACCGACATTCTAGATATAAAGAACATTAAAACTTTTGCATGTCACTCAAAAAACCTTTTGATGAGCCTAAATATTTGTCTATATCATTTTATTACATCTTGTTCGTGTATTACTACTTACATCAGTATCGTTGCACAAATCTATGTATTCATTAATATTTATAATATATATACTTTTAGTGAGAATTAAGAAAATTTTATCAGACTGGCAATCTTCAGATGAAAAATTTGTGGAAACAAATAGTTCAAAACAACTGTACCAGTGCTTAAAGGAGAATGGTTTTGTGACCGTTACCGGAAGTGCGGGGATAGGAAAGTCCGTAACAGCAAGACATGTGGCTCTTCAAATGGTGCTTGAAGGCTATGACGTAATACCAGTTAAGTCTCCTAGTGAGATTTTTGTTTCTAACAAAAAAACCTTGTATATATATGACGACATTTGTGGCAGGTATGAAGCTATTCAGCATGAAATCGAAGATTGGGATAGACACATTGACGTCATTTTAGACTGTTATTCTTTATCACCAATAAAAATATTGGCTAATTGCCGACTGCAAGTTTATCAAAGTCCTAAATTCAAAACTCAAGACCTGTTAACTAAGTGTCAGTTTGATATGTCACTCGGAAAAAATGCAACGAGTATAGACGACAAAAGAAAAATTGCTCAAAAATACATTCCTGTCATGTATACAAAACAAATGTCCATCGAATATATAGAACAATATGAATGTTTTCCTTTATTATGTAGCATGGTTGCAAACTTTGATGAGAGTAAGATAATGAAATTTTTGGAAAACGGGCCTTATGGCATTTTTGAGAAAGAGTATGATAAAATGAAGAACATAGGTAGTGAAATGAATTACTGTGCTTTGGCAGTAACAACTATTTTTAACAATAAATTAAACGAACATTTATTAAGTACTGAAATAACAGACAAAGAAAGGGAAATATTCACAGATATCTTTGAAGCCTGTGGCCAAAATACTTGCACGTCTCGAATATCTTTAAAAACGCATCTTGATTCCTTAATAGGATCATTTATTTCAAAAGAAGACAACGTTTATAGTTTTCGTCATGAAAAGCTTTTTGATATTAGCTGTCTTTATTTTTCTAAGAAATATATAAGCTGTATGGTGAAAAATTGTGCAATTGTATTGCTATGCGAACGATTTGAATTAGAATGTACCAGAAAAGAAGATCAAGGTGGAGATTTTATAGTTCTACCAAAGAACCTTGAGGAGCTATTCTTTGATAGGTTGATTCATGAAGCAACAGACGATTCTATTTTAGATATATTTGGATGCAAACAAATGGAAAATGATCAGTTTAGAGAACGATTATTACATTCTCTAGAAACAAAAAATGAAGAATTGATATCGAAAGTATTGCACATGAACCATTTTGGAATAAACGTTTTTCATTTAATGTGTCAGTTAGGGTTTACAGATATCATTTCATTTTGCATCAGTAAAAATGTCGATATTGACTGTTACGACAAAATTGGAATGACACCTCTTCATTATGCCTGTAGATATGAAACTGAAGCGGTAGTTGATTTTTTAATTAAAGCAGATGTTAAAATTAACATATACACACGTCGTGGATTCACACCCCTTTATGAGGCTTGCAGGAAGCAAAATATAAATATCGTCGAAAAACTTCTTAAACATGGAGCATGTCCAAATTTATCTACTCAACGGTCTTCAATTCCATTAATAGTATCGACAGAGAAAGGTAATCTTGAAATTATAAGAATGCTAATAAAACATAAGGCAGAGATAAATAAACAAAGAAGAGATGGACGATCTGCCTTACATTATGCATGTGGTGATGGGCACAAGGATGCAGCAGATCTCCTTATCACACATGGTGCCGATATTGATTTAAAAACGGAACACAATGAAACTCCTTTGCATCTTGCTTGCATTGGACTTCATAGTCCAATTGTTGATATACTTATTTCAGACACCACAGATATATTTCAGCGTTCTACGAAATCAAATCTATCAGCATTTGCAACAATCGTAGAGAAAAATGATAAAGAAATTCTTAGAAAGCTTCTTAAAACGGTATCAGATAAAAAATGTTTTACCAAGAAATAGAATTTGCATGCACAACCAACAACGCACTTGTTCTTAAAGGGATTTTAGAATTAGGTATCGATGTTAATACACGTTTATCAAAGGGGGATTCTGCTCTACATATCACATGTAGGAACGGATTTTATTTGGGTGCCGAAATGTTAATAGGAACAGAGGCTAATATAAATGAATATTCATATGACGGACTTACAACAATGCAGCTTGCTTGCTTGAAACCAAACAAACAGCTTGTTGATTTGCTAATTTTAAACGGGGCTAGCGTTAATAATTGGCGCAATGGAAGTGCAATTCCACACCCACTCCATATAACATGTATAATGAAAGAAGAAGAAATGGCGATAGCTCTTATAAATGGAAATGCTGATGTTAATCAAATTGCAGAACTTAAAAGAAACACTGTGTATAAGTCAGAAAAAAGACATTGTATTACAAATATTTATGACGAAGTCTACTCTCATACAAGATTGATGATAAGCCCGCTTGAAATTGTGTGCATCGGGAAAATGTTAAATCTTAATCTTGTCGAAGTTCTTTTAAAAAACGGAGCAAATTCGAATATCAAAAGTTTAAGCGGCATAAAACCTTTACTTATTGCAAGTTTTTATAAATATGGGGATTTGGTAAGACTTCTTTTGGACAATAAAGCGGATGTTAACGTTTGCGACAACATTGATATTTTGTGTTTGTCTAACATGCAATATACAGGAGAGGAAGACATAAGCGAACTTTTATCTTATGGGAATGTTTGTCTCAACAACACTAAAATCACACCATTACACGTAGCCAGCATAAATAATTCGCAACTGATTGTAAATGACTTACTTCAAAACCGTGCAAGAAATGACATTGCGTGTCATATTTCGCCTTTCCTTTTCGCTATTCAGAACGACCGTAGGAATATTCCAAGAGATCGTTAGCAGATTATTGAGTTTTATCGCAATTACACGAAAATTGAAGATATTCTTCCTCTCCATGCTGCATGTCTTTTAGGGTTTAGTACTATTGCTGAAGTTTTAGTTCAGAAAACATTGCCACATGCTAGAGAAGCTGCTATTTTAATTCGCCCGTTCCAAGTAGCCTGCATTAAAGGACATATTTACGATAAATGGCCTTATATTACCAATAATCCATTTTCATTATCTGCTTTACAGATTGCATGTCTTGGGCAATATTGGGATATATGTAAAATATTAATACAGAACGGAGTTGCTGGAAAATGCACATTCGAGGTGTCAGACCTGTTGATAGCTTCATTTTTGGGTGACAAGAAAAATATAGAATTAACTATGTGCGACAAACGAATCTATGAAACATCTGTCCTTCATTTCGCTTACGAACACAAAGGAATAGAAATCGTAAAACAATTGCTAGATACCAATACAGAAGATACAAGTGGATTTGCTGATGATTTAGAAACTTTGTTTTTCATAGCCTGCTCAAAAGGCGACATTGAAACAGTTTCTTACATTTGTAGTATTATACATAACTTAAATATCAATGATTACGTCGATGCAACACCATTGCATTCTGCTTGTGAAAATGGTAATGTTGAAATTGTTGAATTCCTCTTATCACATAATGCATATGTAGATCCTATTTCCATAGAAAATGAAACTCCTCTTCATATAGCATGCAAAAAAGGTCTAAACGATGTTGTGAGGACATTGCTTAACAGAGGAGCAAAGCCGTTTTTAACTAATAAACATGGAGAAAATGTTTATCATTTAGTGTCAAAGTATAACTTTATAGACTGTGCACGAAGTGTATTCGAATTTAGAAAAAAATATTTGACAAATACAGATGCTGAACACAGTGTAAATAGTCGTACAGTTGACGGAAAAAATGCTTTGTACTTCTCATATGAAAATAAAAATAAGAATATGATGAAACTTATTCTAAGTTTTGGTGCTAATGTAGATGAAATATATGATGATAACGAAGATATATTACTGTTGAAAGCTTGCAGAGAGGACAGACTAGAATTAGTAGAAGTATTACTTGAATATTCATCTGCAGTCAATCGAAAAACTATTGATGGCAAAGATGCCTTGTATCTCTCTTATATAAACCAGAATAAAATTTTGATGAAACGTCTTCTCAGGTGCGGAGCAACTATTAATAATAAATATGGGACAGAAGGGGAAACATTACTTTTCAAAGCTTGCAGCCAAGGTTATTTGGAAATTGTAAAAATATTACTAGAGGAATGCTGTTATGTCAATGCAAAAAATAACAACGGAGAGACTGCTCTTTGTATTGCATGTCAGCGCAATGAAAATGCAATTACTACCTTATTGATACAATACGGTGCTGACATAAACAAACAATCGTATGAAGGATTGTGTCCCCTTTATTTTGCATGTATTCAAGAAAACGAAAACATAGCAGATTTGTTGTTGCAGAACAATGCTTATACCGATATAATGTTTTCTGATTCTCAAAGTATGCTTATGAAATGTTGCACGAACAAATTTTACGGCATTGTTGATCTTTTATTAAAGCATGGAGCAGATGTGAATATTTGTCATTATGCCGGAGAAACTGCTTTGTATAATGCATTTCAAATGGGAGATGCTAAGTTAATGCTAATTTTGCTGAATTATGATGCTGACTGGAATATATGTTCTCATGAAAAAGAACAGTTTCTATTTGAGGCTTGTGAGAGAGGCTTAGAAGAAATCGTAGAAATAATTTTACAGCGGGATCCAAATATCAACGTCAATGCAATCCTGTTTGATAATAAAACGCCGTTATATGCGTGTTATAATGCAATATCAGATACCACTTCACCTCAGTATAAGATATACATATCAATAGGATCTTTACTTAGACGTCATGGGGCAAATTTATTCACATTAACAAAAGCAAATGATACACCTTTTCATCAATTATGCATGAAATGTTCACTTGGCGACATAAAAGAAGTGTTAGATAGCTGTGTGGTTGAAAGAAACGTTTTAGAAGAAGTATTCCAATATGCCTGTTCTCAGAACCACCAGGATATAGCAATTCTATTGTTGGACTTCTGTAGACAACCATTCAAATCAGATACTAGTAACATATTTATAGCAGCTGGAAATAAAAATAATAATATCACTGAAATGCTTCTTTCTTTACAACTGGATGTAAATTTGTCGGATACAACCGGCAAAACAGCTCTTCACTTTGCTTGTTCGAACGGAAATAACTACATTGTAGAAAAACTTTTACAATCTCGCAACACAGATATTGAAATTCAGGCAAATAATGGTTATACTGCATTACATTTTGCATGCTTTCATGGACACATTAGAGTCATAAAAATGCTAATAGAAAGAGGAGCTAACATACACAGACGTACATATTCCGATGAAACAGTAGTTGAACTGGCATTTTCCCAATTACGGGGAAACGTTATTACTTGTTTGTTAGATTTGAATATATTTGAGACTTTACAACAGTGTAAGGAAAAAATGCAATTCTTTTTGAAAACATATTGCTCTTCGAATAGCATGAAAAAAACATTAAGGCGAATACTCACTTTAATGAACCCTAGTTCGTACATTGATACCATTGATTACCCTCTGCACTTTGCTTGCAGGAAAGGCGATGGTGAACTTATTGATCAATTGCTTGAAAACAGATCAAGTGTAGACTGTATATCATTTTACGGGGAGACCCCTCTCATAATTTGCATAAGTAACAATGATTTACAAAATGTAAAACTATTATTGGAAAAGGGAGCGTCGGTTAATAAATTGGCGAATATATCCGAATATGGAATCGATCAACTTTTCGGAAACACAAGTATTTATATGTTGAAAGATGTGACTCCAATCTCTTTGGCCTGCTTTTTGGAAAATCTTCCCCTAATTCAACTTCTGATTGATCATAATGCTAAAATCAATACAACAGTCCATATTTGCTATTGCAATACGAAAGATTGTCCTTCTAAATGTGAAATAATGACACCTCTGTTTATATCTGTTATACAAAACAATTTACATTCAGTGCACCTTTTAGTTGAAAGTATGCTGGATTCCGGTCTAAACGATCTCAATTGTATACTTATTGGCTCACTCTACAACAACAGTAATTTAACGGAAGAAAACTGTCATAAATGTGACAGGCTAGTTCTCACACCGTTCCAAGCAGCTTGTTTCAATGACCGGACAGAAATAGCGTCGTATTTTGCTCAAACCAACCAGGTAGATGTAAACCTAGCTTTCAAAATATCTCCTGTGTTATTATCTTTGTATTTTCAGTATCCAGACATGATGATACGTGTGATAGATAAAAATGGATTGGTAAACAAAAATTTTGAAACTGAAGTTACTCCATTAATTTTCTCAGCTCTTGTTGGAAATTTCAGATTGATGGACATCCTGCTAGAGAATTCTGGAAATCATGAATGCTATGCTACAATATCTGTTTTGCTAATTGCTGCACTAAGTGAAGATGTTCTCCGTATATTTGACTGTTATTCTGGTGATTATTTTGTTTACTCAGAATGTACTGTAAATCCACTAGCGATATGCCTCTTGCAGAAAAATATGGAAATGGCTTCTTTATTGTTAAATGAATATGCAAGTACTTCCTGTATTTCAGAAATGGATGCTTCACATGTTATTTGCTTTAGAAAACAAACAGAACATTTACGTCTTATTTATGAAAGCCGATTAAATCTCCGTAGAAAATTCAATATTCAGATGTGGCATTTGCTTATAATGGAAGACGATCAAAGTGTGTATTATATATATATCTCTAATAATATAAGTGCTTTAAATCCAACTTATTTGTGTGTAACATTAATAGAGCTTTCATGTTTCCTCCGCGATAGTGCTTTATTAAGGCTTCTGCTTAAGTCCGAATATACACTTGATGGTGTAATGGAAATTTCCCCGTTACTATTATCCTTATTATTTATGAATAAGCCTATCGTTTTATCTAATGCACAGCTTCAATTATTAGACACAAACTCATATGGCAGCTCTTCGAGGTTATGTAAATCTGCTTGGATGGTTATAGCAATAATTTCAAATGAGCATGCGTTAGATATTCTAACTGTTAGATTGACAGAAGACTCCTTTCAGATAAAAAATTCTGCAGATTTGGGTTTAGCCATGTTAGTTGTCTTTTATATGCACCATGATCTTGTTGAAAAAAATTTGTACGACATGAAATATCTATCAACAACAGATGTTCTCTGTAAAGTCAGTTTAGCTGAAATAAATGCCATTGAACTTCTTTTTAATGATAACGAAGATGAAAACATTTATAACAATGAAATAGAATACCAGGGTTTGAAAAACATTCATAACAATGTAATAGAATTCCAGGGTATGAAACTGGATAGATTCAAGATAAATCTAGCATACTTAACATTGCTACGGAATAAAAAATTAAAATGTTTACCGGTACAGGCGTATAATGGGTCAATCAATTCTTTACCGTTTTTGGCAGTTGAAATGTTTTATTTGATACAACAACGAATACCAAAATGTTTGTTATCAGTAAATCAAATTTCTGATGAAAAAATACTTATCACACAACTTATGGTGGCTTGCTTGCTTGATAATCAATCTAATGTGAATTTTTTATGTTATATGGGAAAAAGCGTTCAACGTAATGAAATGTCGTTTTGGCATCTGGCAAGTATACACAAAGTGAAACTTTGGGATTCATGTCCAACAGTTTGTGAAATTGCTTGCAATAGCAATTTAAAAGCAACCTTTAATGAGCTACATGTATCCTGTATGAAAGAAAAGATGACAATTGTGAAATATCTTTTAAAAAATAATTGTGACGTGAATGCTTCAGCTTGTCTGACACCGTTCCATATGTTCCCTATCATACTCAGTCATCACTTTTATTTAGAACATTCCCATTTAATAGACAAGTTCATTGATATTATTGATTCACTGAAGAGTTCAAGAAACAACATGGAGTGTTTAGTTTTACCCGTGGAGTTTAATGCCATTCATTTAGTGATGTTTTCAGACGATATAGAATATATGAAATTATTGATTCAAAAGAGGTGTAATCTGAATGCAGTAGCAAAATTACCAACCTTATCCTTATATCTACTTCATTTCTTTGAAGATGATTCATTAATATCGTTAAACACAGTAAATGCCATATCAGAGGTGACGGCAATACATATCGCCTGCATTTTAGACAAAAGTGATTTCGTTGAGTTTCTTTTATTAAACAAAAGTAATATAAACTCATACGGATCAATTCATCCGCTGCATTTAAATGCATTTCACTGCGAGGATATTTTGGAATTGATAACTGACAAATCGTTTTTTACGTTGACAGTCTTTCATACTGCTATTTTGCGTCGAAACACATATATAGCAGAAATTCTTATTGAAAACGGCACAAACTTTGAAATGACTGCATCATTATATTTGGAACTGTACATAAAAAATGACAAACACATCTCTACTCAGTCGTTAGTTAAATCGCTGCACTTGGCGTATTTATTTGGAAATGAACATATTTTCAGGACAATTCTGTCTAAAACTTTACCCATGAATATAAATGAGAAAGTGTCTTTATCAGCATGGCATTTATTTGACAATGACTCAATTCACGACATGACTTCACATTATACATCCAGGGGAGATATCCAATTGACACTGAACATTCTTCACATAGCTTGCATTACTGGGGATAGTTTTTATGCAAATGTTTTGATCAATGAAGATGCTAATGTAAATTTAGAAGCAGAAATGTGTACAACCGATTTTACAGGAAATGAAATTATAATTACAAAATGCCCCCTGCATTTTGCAGCGGAGATAGGAAGTTTGGGCTTATGTAAGATATTAATAGAGCGTGGGGCCAAACTGGATGTCAAAACTAATATAATAGGATTTCAGCCATGGCATTTGGCGTTATATCATGGATATGATGAGGTAGTGTATTTCCTTCTTACACATTGTCGAATAACAAATTTTGATAGGAAACAATTTTTGTTAGTTTTTATTTTATTCCTACTACGCAAAAATTTCAGTAAAATTATTCTTCCATTTATAGCAAAATCAAAAAGCTTTCTTATACTTTTATCATTCTATAAATATTTAATGAATGTACTTGGATTTACTGGTGATCCTAATTTTCACTCAAGAAGGATAACCAGTTCAGAATATATTTCACTTACAACAATTGACAATGAATCGCTATATGAAGAGTTAATGAGTGTATATGAAACAATAGACACAAGCGACAGTTTTGATTCGAGCGATATTGATTATGATTATCATTAAGACGCATGGAGCGTTTGGCGTGCCAAATTATAAACCATTTATCGTTTATGAGTTTTCAATTATACCTCTGTAAACTTTGGATAACAAGATGCAATTATGTCAAACTGTACACTGATATTCGAAAGAAGTTCATAGTTGAAAAATCTTTGAGAAATACAATCATATTCATATAAGATTTATTAAACAATGAACAATATAATCGCGATGAATTTGAATATGAAAATGTGTTAATTGATAATCAGATAGTTATTGTGAATTAGTACAATGTAGTGCATATGTTAATGGAATGGTCCCCTCAAGTACAAATTCAAACAGTTTGATGTGCATTAAGGTAGATAGGGTGTCTTCCTCCATCTTGGATTTTGAAATACCAGAAAATAATCGGTCTAGACCTTTAACAAAATGTGCAAATTATTAGAGTAGTGGGTAATTCATGTGTAAGAATTTTCATTTTAATATAGAAAATGACATGTTTTATTATATTTATGGTTGTATTTTACAAAAAACAGAATACTTTTGTTTGATTCAATTTTTTCCAACTTTGCCACATAAGGGGAGGCAACTCAAATGTAAGGGCAGATAATTCAGATAAAGTTACTTTTACAATAGAATGTGTTAGGAATTTTATCTATTTTATTATGTAGCAAGAAAACGGGCCCGGTGGCCCCATTTTTTCTTTTTCCTATCTGAAAGTATAATATTAGAGCTATCTTCTCATATTTTATCTCAAAATTCTATGGTGTAGGTTTCGTTTTATGGCAGAAAATTGCGTTTTCCATGCATAATCTATACAAAATCTGTCAATTTTGCACAACCTGTAGCGTGAAAATAAGCCCCGTGACCCATTCTTTTTATTATTTTTTTCAAAAAAGCATGATATTAACTACATTTTGACAAATTATTAAAAAATTCTATAGATCATAATTTAGACACCCCATTTACCTTGAGCGCCTAGTTGAAAATTCAAAATTAAATGTGATAAAATTATTTTTTTTGCACTTAAAGAATAAGGTAATTATAAAATAATTATTTACGTTGAGATAGTTATCTTTTATGTTCCCTTTGATTAACCATTACACTGTGTCATACAACTACAGATGATTTTATATCTCCAAGTTGATTTCATTAGAATTTTAAATAAAGGAGCAGCGTTTAACTTTCATATGATTTCGCATAGCAAGGTTTTCCAAGGTACAGTCCTACGCTTTATTGTACAAATGTTAGGGGTATTCGTCATGAGACAGCAACCATCTATTTCCCCCCTGAGTCTGGAAGAGTTTTGATTGAATAACAGAGGCCATATTTTACATAAACAGCAAAGTTTCAAAATAATTAAAAAAAAAACATAATTAAAGACAACCCCTGACGATCAATTTTCCTAACTTCAAACAGGCACATGTGCCGTTGTGTTAAAATACAAAATCTCGAGCAATTGTGGAAAACAGAAGGAACATACAAGAAGTACGTTGAAAATCAATGGAGAATAAGCACTTAAAATTTGTGATGGGATATAATAACAGGCAACAGTAGCTTACCTGTGTTCAAAATTGTAAATACATTTGGATAATACCAACCTGGAGAACACAAACATAGTGAATCGGATGAGCTATAAATAGTGCGTCGATAGGGTAAATGTCTCCACTGTGCAGCATCATCACTGGATATAGGTACCCGGACACATTGAAAAGCAAAAAGTATATATTCTCCGTACAGTAAAAAACTTTACGCCGTACAATGTATCAGCTTTACATACATGAATTTCTCTGTGAAAACAATTGTTTATTTCGAAATAAAGTGTTGTGTAAGCTTAAATATGATATGGCTTTGTTCTACGAAAAGGTCAAATGAATAGATAAAGTATATATGTGTTTCAACAAGTTTGAACTCGTCACATGCTTCTTTGAACAGGTACCAACCGGTCCGATTCTGACGATTTGACGAGAGAGAAAGCCAATTAATGATCATAATTAGCCTTAAATACTACCTACATTATTAAGAATCAGTTTCACACAATTTTACTTGTCAGCAAAACGTAGAATATACCAAAACTAAGAATAACTTGACCTTACCGGACATTTGGTTTTTCCACCGCTTCAGGGGTACCTATATCCGATGGTGATGCTACACAGTAGTCTCTTGAAATGTCAAATATATCGCTATCATCGAGAATTGGACACAATTATTATTTTCCTAAAGGGCACAAATCTGGTTAAAATATAAAACTACGTACAGAAATTTTTTCTTGAATTGGGACATAGACACCATTGTTTTGGTTAACCAATTCGTGATAGTAATTGGTAAACTTGGTTAGCGTCGATTTCAGTTGATCTTCCTCATAATCATGCTGGAGAAGTTTTTGTGCTAGGTAATATCACTGTTTATGACGTCTGTATGATGTAGACATTCATCATGTAGACAAGGCTCCGTGTTGAAGCCGTACTGTGACCTATAATGGTTTACTTTTATAAATTTTGACTTGGATGGAGAGTTGTCTCATTGGCACTCATACCACATCTTCTTATATCTATTCACCCTTATGAAGAATCAATTCAAATATGTAAACCCTAAACGATGTGTCCAAGGGTATTGCACTTCTAAGACACAGGAAGTTGACAATGGGAACACGTCACAGGACTAACAATCCTCCTCTTGCAACACATCTTCCAAAGACACATTGATTTTGAAACTGCGACACCTTTATGCGCTAGTGACTAAATTGATATTGTCGGTATTCTATCTCGTCGGTGCATGTGATGACTAATGTCGCATCTGCTCATCGTCGTAGACGCAACCATGGCTATCGTCATGATAAAAATGCATCACTTTATCTTAGCGATGTCTGTATAAATGATATACCACTTTTACAGAAGTCATTATGTAAGTATCACATTTGCAATTAACTACATTCGCTGCCCCTTTCGAAACTTTATTATTTGGTAAAGTAATGCTAAGAAAACTTTGTTGCAAACGTATATTCAAGTCAAAGGAAACTAATAGCTATCAATTCGAATATTGATCTTCAAAGACTTAGCATTGGAAAAATGAAACGGAGAATTAGTTCTGTTTAAAACGTTCTTTGCGAAGTGAAGACTTGATGCCACCAATTTAGTCAATATCCTTTATAATAAATGATTAAAACCGATAATAACTTTCTCTTTAAAAGACCAGTTTTGTTCCAATCATCCCGTATATATATATATCGATACCACACTTATTGCGACCAAAATTTGTAGCTACATGCATGTCTTGCAGGATCTCAATATTGACGACATTAAGTGTACTATAGTATTTAATTGCACCTTTACATGTATCATCAGCCCAGTAGTCAGTACTTCGGTACTGACATGATTTATAACATAACTTTCTATAATTGTCCGTTTATAAAATTTAAAATTATTAGAAACTAAGGTTTCAACTCCCTCAGGCAAAGTTGACCTTAGATGGATTTGGCTATTTGTAATGTTTTTATTGGTAATATAGCTCTTCAACTGTTTCGGTTCTTATACATCTTTGGTTTTCAAATATTCGGCTTTTAGGGTTCCTGATGAAGGTAAATCCAGAAATGCACTTCGGACGCATGACATTTATAACGTGTTGTTTTCATTTTTTACAGCACTGGGTCGATACCTCTGCTGGTGGACTATCAGTCCTCGAGGGTATCATCAGCTCAGTAGTCAGTACGTCGGTACTGACATGATTTATAACATAATTTTCTAAAATGTCCGTTAATAAAATTTGAAATTATTAGAAACTAAGTTTCGACTCCCTCAGGCAAAGTTGACTTTTTATGTCTTTTTTGGTAATATAACTCTTCAACTGTTTCGGTTCTTGTACAACCTTGGCTTTAAAATATTCGGCTTTTAGCGTTCCTGATGACGGTAAATCCAGGAAAGCGCTTTGGACGAATGACATTTATAGCGTGTTGTTTTCATTTTTTTTTGCAAGTTCCCTATTCATGTATGATGGGTTCAGTCGAGGATTATATGTTCCTTATGTCGTAACTACAATATCCTTCCCTTTTCACCAATGTGACTTACCGAATTAGACTATTTACCGGATTTGTAATAACATAAGCAACTCGACGGGTGCCACATGTGGAGCAGGATCTGCTTACCCTTCCGGAGCACCTGAGATCACCCCCAGTTTTTGGTGGGGTTCGTGTTGCTTAGTCTTTAGTTTTCTATGTTGTGTCATCTGTACTATTATTTGTCTGATTGTCTTTTTATTTTTGGCCATGACGTTGTCAGTTTGTTTTCGATCTATGAGTTTGACTGTCCCTCTGGTATCTTTCGTCCCTCTTTTATAGAAAACAATGGACAAAACGTACAAAAATAGACTTTGATACACTTTTCAGATGGGTTATGGCAGTTTAGTCATTGATACAAATCCAATTAATAAACATGTGTGCATCATCTATCTTCAAAAACAAAAATGTTGCTTAACACATGTTCTTTTTCCTTTTAAGTTAAGTTAAATATGTTGTTTTCCCACAGGCAAACCCTTAAGCAATATCGTTTGTGTTTGTTAATAATCTTATTGTGACTGCTGATAAAGGAATAAGGTATTGACAATTCATTTGGAAACCCAGCATCAACCGATATGACACTAACTAAAGATGATATTAAGCAATATCGTTTGTGTTTGTTAATAATCTTATTGTGACTGCTGATAAAGGAATAAGGTATTGACAATTCATTTGGAAACCCAGCATCAACCGATATGACACTAACTAAAGATGATATCATAAACAAAAAGACCTTGGGTAATTAAAAATGTTATTGTAATTGGCTGTAATTAATTACATTAGAAAGTAATTCAATGTAATGTGTAATTGAACATATTTTCAATTCACTACAAACCAGTAAAAGTCTAAAATGGCCTATATCTGTACTCGACTGGACTGATTTTTACTCGACCAGTCTGAATTGGTCTGAAATTTACTTGATAGTACTCAACTGTAGTCTGAACCATACTTAACAGTCTGAATTTGTACTCGACCCTTACTTGACCAGTACTTAACCATTTTATACACCTCTGAACCATGCTCGACCTAGTCTGAACCATGCTCGACCTAGTCTGAACCATACTCGACCTAGTCTGAACCATACTCGACCTAGTCTGAACCATACGCGACCAAGTCTTAACCAACCTAGACCTATTTTTAATATCTATCTATTGTATTCCATCAATTTAGGAACTGTTGTTAACAACAGCTATTTCCCCTGGTTAGAAATTTGAACAACAATTTGAAATTAAAAATGTATTCAATATAGCATTGAAACCAAAATTTCACAATAAACATAATATAACTTCATCACCATATTCATGAACACTTATATACATACATATATATCACCTTTAAAATAAAAATAAAACAAGCTGATCAAATAATCTCAAAACTGAATTGTGACTAATATTTTCAATGTTATTCAAAATTTGTTTGAATGTTTCAGATATATTTTATGGTTACTGGACAATTTTCACCATTAACTTAAGCCTCGAATAGATTTATGGTGTCAGTTGATTTTAGTTAATAATGCAGTGAACATTTTTTTTTATTAAAATATATATGAAATAGCATATAAAGCAACTTAATAAATTTAAAAAATGACACCTTTGTTTTGTTAAACTAAGAACTTAATATAATCATGATAATAGAACTTCCATAGTAATCCTGTGATAAACTTTTAAAAAAGGAAATGTGTTCCAAAGTTACAGTAAAAATTTATAAAGCAGATGTGTAAGTTCACATTATATGTGTACTAAGTTTCAAGCTGATCTAACCTAAACTATATAGTAAACTACCTTAACAAAAAACTATAAACTTGAAAATGTACTGGTGTCACACAAACGGTATCACATAATCCATGTTTACTGAACGTTGAAACTATTTGGAACATAACCGTGATTTATCATAAAATGTAGAACGTTCATATCATAGTAAACATGTGTACTACTGCTTCATTATGACCTACCTTGTCCAAAAATTTAACCTGATACGGGACGGACGCGCAGTCCAGAAAACATAATGCCCCTCTACAATCGTAGGCGGTGCATGAAAAAAAAGAATACATCATTTGTTCTGGCGATGATAGTCAAATGTTCCTGTTTAACCAAAATATCACCGATAGGTGTCGCACGGCATTTGATTGAACCAATTAAATAATGCCAGTCATACTTTGCGATTAATACGGATATGAAATGAGTAAAACTCACTGTTATAATAATTATGATTAAAAAATACTCAAACTATTTGTGATAAAGCAGATGATGCCTTTTTCGTCAAAAAGACAACTGGTTTTGTAAGCGTATACTACACAACTCTTTTTTATCGACATATCTCAATTTAACAAG